TGTATTAAAATTAAGTGAGAGTCTGATTTTAGATGTGTAGAATACATAGATATATAAGGTGAAACATATGCTTCCAGATGACACTCATTCCACACACAGAGGAAAGTGAACGTTGAAGAAATTATGGGTCAATTCAGGTACAACTGAACAAGGAAAACACAATTCTGAAACAAAGCTGTACTTTGGACTGTACTTTCCAGTCTGAAGATATACACTGATGTAATTCATCTGGTAACTGCACAACCTTCCACTCTTCTTCACCAATGAATGTAACTACTAGAGAAATTCCTGGGGGTCCTAGCCACTTCCCTGGAGCACTGTAGAAGTTTATCCTTTTTTGTCTTCCTTGTTTTGCTCTCCCTCCTTTTTCTCCATAAATTATTTCTACCGAAGGATCACCCTGTACAGGTCTGACTCTCAAGGAAGTAGATAACAAAATAGTACACTCCCAGTGTGCTCACCCAATGCCTCAGTTCCAGTATGTGTGAAGCAATCACTGGAGTTCTTTCCATTTGGGTCATGGGACATGCAAGGACATGCTTTATAAAGTGGAGAAGAGGACAGATGACATCCTGGCACAGAGCCAGTGAGGCCTGGCTGTGAGCAGAAGTCTCAGCCAGTCACGAGAGAGAAAATACAACCCGTTAGTTTGTCACAAGCCGGGGAAAACTCTGTTATCGTAAAACTGCACAACTCTTCTAAGATAAAAGTACATAATAAAAATGGTGTGTCAGGGCATCCGTGACTAACAAGTCCCTTGACACCTTTAAAAATACTTCAACTTTTCCATCTTTTGAGGTGTTTTCTTCCTAAAATATATATGCTAAAATGTAGTTATGCCAACGTAGCTTCTGTCTCTGCTTAACTGCCCGCTTAATTCCATTCACTGACATTTCACAGGAGCGCTTAGAATTCACTGTATCTCAGAGATAAAACGAAGGCTTTAAAGAAATCACGTTTAACATTAGTAGTGATGAAAATAGCAAGACAAGTGCCTTGCATATGGCAGGAGCTATGCTGGGTCTTCCTGTGCATTTCAGTAAGAATAATGTTTGTGTCTCGCTAAACAGGAGACAGAAATACTGTAGACACCTCTAAGAACCTGAAAGCGAACTGAATTTGAAGCTGAGAAGGAAGCGTTCCATTTTTCTTTATGAACTCAACCATCAGAAGAGCCAACTATTTTCGAAACATGAAGCTGGCAGCACAAACACAAGAGAACCTTTGCTCTTGGTTTTAAAAATAAGACATATTCACAGCTGCCTCCTTCCACCTGACACTCAGAATAGATTCTAAGGTTTTCTACCTTAAAGTTTTGATTTGTGCTATCGTCAGCTCGATAGGTGAGAACATTTTCAGAGTGCAGGTTCAGTAAGAGCCTTCGTCCACAGTGCTGTCAGGAAGTGGCTACTGCTGACTTAGGCTGGGCTTGATGAGTCCTGCCCTATAGTGAATGTTGACTTCGGGCAGTAAGAAGTTCCATGAACACACAAAATTAAGTGGAGCAAAACAGTACTCACTAGACTAGTTGGGGATAGGCATGAGGTCCAGAAAAATATAAATTACTAGGATACGAGTATTTTGAATGTATGCAAAGGAGTCTCTGACAGTCCAGGAGAGTCCCAGAACACTGAAGCCCTGCAGCACTGCTGGAGTGCCCGGATGAGAATGATTACTAAATATGATAATAAGCAGATTGCTTGCAAGAATTAATGCTTGGCATACTGTTATGCCTACGGTGTTGCTCAGAAAATACCTGTTGAATGAAAGAATGAAAATTCCTAAGGAACTTAGAAAGAGGCTTGGTACTCAAAAAAGCATAGGACCCGAGTTCAAACCCTCAGTCCACTTTCTTAGGTACGTGACTCTGGTTAGTCATGTAAGCCATAAACCTCAGATTTCTCACTGGTAAAATACAGATGACATCACCTACCTCAGAGGCTACTTGTGACATTCAGTTAGGTAACACCTGTAGTGCTTAGCACTGAGAGGCGCTCATCACGTTGCTCCTCTCACAGGTCTATTTTGTCCATACTACTTATTTTTTATTATCAATATAGAATTATAAATTCTTTTATTTTATTATAAACTTTATGTACTATACTTTCTTATAAATATAGAAATTGGAGACTATTATAAATACTTTTATTATAGATATTATTTTTTATTATAATACTTATAAGTACAGAAATTGGAGACTTATACCAAGATTTCACTTAAATAATCAACTCCAAGTTGTGTGTGAATTAATGAGATTTCAGTGCATTAATAATAGTAATAACCCAAAGTCTAATTATATTATCTAAATCACTTAATTTTTTTCTTCTAGTATATTTACAGTCATGTTTTAAGGCAATATTTAGAAATAACTTACTATACCAAACTATGTCTCTTTACTATCATATTATAATTACATAGTATAGATATTATACCATATATATCTTTACGTTGGAAGCAAATCTCTAGGCTTTCCTGGCGAACAGGTACAGAATCAGAAATAGCCATCACAATATTAAAGATAAACTCGGATGCATGTGAATACTGGCGTCTCAGAGCTTATGTTCCCACTAGGTACAGGGGTTTATCTCATCAAATAAATTTTAATTCCATGGTAATCTGAAAATTCCAGATTTAGTTCAGAACACCTCACATTTGAACCATGGGCTCCTACGGAAATTACATTTAAAAGTTAGACCTAACATCAGAACAGCAGCTTGCTCCTGGGGTTCTATGATGATGTCTCCCCTCTAAGGTTCCTGGGCCTGAGGCCAACAATTAATTACACACACACACACACACAAACACACACAAATCACTGGAAAAGCTTCCCATTGCCTTTATTTTTTTAAAAAAAGAAAAACTGCAAAGAAAAAGCAGACATATATTTTAATCAATAAGCTCACACATTATCTACCCAAAATTGGTAGATAATGCTTTATAAGTCTAGGGGCATTTACAACTATTTACAACTTCCCTCTTGTTCAGGAATGTACTTGAAAAGCAGGTTAACAATCTGAGAAAGATTTCCAGCCGTCTGGGATATATTTTTAAATATAAGTGTACATAAATACATGTGTCTGCATACATCTTTCCACAGAATATACACACACACACACACACACTCACACACACACTTGGTTGCATGCTCTGCCTGTCTCTGTCTCTGTCTCTCTGTCTCTGTCTCTGTCTCTCTCTCTATATATATATACATTTGAGAGGATTATCGAACGTATTTATGATCTATGTATATATGTGTACATGTATATTTACATATATACATATATATATCACAGATGGTCCTTTCTAAATCGATATACACTGAAGTATTGTACATACACATGAACAGGTCTCTCCATAGGCTGAGAGCATCACATTTCAGGGGCAGCTATCACAGCATCAGGATCCCAGATTCCTCTTCCACACTGATCCACATCCAAGGGTAATGCTAGTGCTCTTTATCTGACTTAGCTTCACGTTTCCACTGTGTCTCAATTCCCTTTGTTACTTAATCTGCAGTCAGTTAGGCCACACTGAAGCTAAAGGTACAGGTCTACTGGGAAGTATGTCCAGGCACCAATCATGGTCATGAACTGACACAGTGTACTTTGAAAACTGTCTGAGTCCTATCCACACTTCACTTAGCAAAGATAGGGACCTCAGTGCAAACAAGCGATCAAACTGAATTTGGGTCTCCCTTATAATATCTTAATAAATCAAAAAACTGTTAAAACGTATTTTTAAAAAACTTTACCAAGAAACTTAAAAGAAATGGCTAGTCCCACACGAATGAATCTCAGACGCGTGAGCACTAACGAACCACGTGACTCTGCCTTTTCCACGCAGGCCTATGTAGCATTTGTTGACCTTTAACTTGAAACCCAGAATTTTTTTTAATCCTCTGAGCAGTGGATCAAAAGCCATGCCTTGGATTAAGTAATGGCTGAATACTATTTAAAAGCAGTTGGGGTTGATTCCCAAAATAGGAATTTTCCATCTGTCGAAGCAAAAGGTCCCTGTAGATTCTCGCTATTGGCAAGGGAAAAATGGGTCTATCTCAGGGTTAAAATTTCAAGTGAGCTTTCATTCTGCCCCCATTCTGATTTTTCCTAGTATGCCAGTGAAGTAGAAATTTTAAAAACTCATGTAACAACTTATTTGTGGAGTAAGAGGAAAAAAGAAAACATATCCTCATTTGAATGCCAAGGATTAGAACAGAATCAGTTGGTTGTCATTTAATATATCTTAAATTCTATTAATGAGTAGCAACCCAGGTGAAGAATCTCAGAGCTGAACTAGAAGTTACAGACTCACAGTCTTGCCCTCTTTTGTAAGGCACATACGTACATCTATAATATTCAATTTGGACAGATAACTACTGTTGCAAAATTACCAATGCCCTGACATATCTCAGAGGATACAAGTAATTAAATTAAAAAGAAAGTGCAGGAAACGTTTTACTACCTTCATGTCATCAATTATGACTGTCACTTTCTTAAGCTAATTTTCAAAAAAGCCTCTTTTGAACCAAATGGCTACTCCTGCCTAATATGCTCTTTTTTCCCCTCCCCTTTAACAGAAACCTCTGATACACTCTGTGATAATCATTATTTTCTTCCCTGGTGTTTTAGTGAATTTTTAAATTAAAGTTTTTTCTTTGTCTTTTTTTGGTCTTAATTAACGTTTGCACTTGGCTTCTTATGAATTATACTAACTGCCTCTATTCTCCCTTTGTCCTCATCCAACTAGGGGTAGATTTTTCTACTGAGACTCTCCTTGCCCTTGAGTCTCTCTCCTGGAATTTTCTTAATGACACTGCCCTTCCCAGGGTTTCCTCACAATCTTTCCAAGTTCAAGACAGGTCATGTACAAGCTTAAACTTATTAGAAAGCTCATATTTCAGAAGCCAAAGATCAAATGGAGTACCAGAACCCACTCTAGTGGATATACTAGAAAAGAATCAAAACACAAAGTAAACAGGACCCATCACAAAAATACCCTACCTGGAATGCAGATGGCGCATCCGTTTCAAAAACTTCTTGGGGAGCTCCAGGTTTCAGGATGGCGGTGAACACTAAAAGATGTTCTGGGCTGTTCAACGTCACTTGTGAGTTTAGTGTAGACATAGCCTTGAAGCCTTTGCTTTCTTGCTCGTGTTAATTTTTTTAAAAAATAGATTCTACTGTGGTCTACTACCCACTTTTTTTATTGATCACCTGTACTCAAATTCTGTCATCTGCCCTCTGTTTGTAGGTCCCCCATCCGACTGTCCACCCCAGATCTCTTCATCCTGTGGAATCTTAACTGTCGGTTATCTCTGCGGCATCTTCTATGTGGCAGCTCATCAGCAATTCAAATGTAACTTGACCAAGATTGTTGTCTAAAACTTAGCAGGACTTTCCCCTGTGCTGCTCAGTCCTGTCATCTGACTCTTGCCTTCTAGCATCTTTCTCTAACTCCACTCTTGTTGATTTGCCCCTTCTGGCCACAGGGCCTCTTCTTCAATCTCCTTAAGGGTGTATTTTCATGGAAGGTTTGACAATATTCTTAAATAACTTGTCTTTCTCTTGGAACCTATACAAAACAGAGGGGTCCCACTTTTCTGATTCCTTAGGATCACATTAGCACCCTAGGTATACAAAGTCAGTGCCGTACCGTGTTTAACTGGCAGGCTGAAATGACTTTTCTATCCTTTGGTTTATTAGCTGTGTTGCTGCCCAATTACACTGAACAAGAGAAACAGCACTCGACTCTGTAGTAGACACGAGGCAGTGTACGCCTCACACTTTTCATTTGATGTTTATCACTATAACTGAAGTTATCAAGCAACATTCTATTGCACAATGCAACCTGATTTTCCCTTAGTTTTATTGAGATATATTTGACATATAACACTGTATAAGTTTAGGGTGTATTGTGGAATGATTTAAGTATATTACAAAATGATTACCACAATTGGTTTAGTTAACATCCATCACCTCACATAGTTGCACATTTTTTTTTCCTTGTGATGAGAACTTTCAAGCTCTCTTAGCAAATATACAATACAGTGTTGTTAGCTATAGTCTCCATCCTGTACATTACATTCCAATGACTTGTTTTTCTTATAACTGGAAGTTTGTACCTTTGAGCCACCTTCACCTATTTCCCCCACCCTTCCCAATGCAACTTTAAACAGGCACTGTTTAAATCCTTTGGGTACTATATTTCCCAAAAGGTAGCACCCACAGAGCCAAGGAAACCAAGGGCCCTGGCATCTCAAGACGCAGCTAGACAGGAGCAAAATAGGCAGAATATGTACAAACTTTGGACATTATGGCCTTTAATGATTCAAAATGTGCCCATTCTTATTGAAATGGGGAGAGAAGTTATGACGACAATATGACATTCTAGAAAGGTTCTGAGGAACCAGATGTAACAGATATTTTTTGTGAACCTAGACAGATCAGGAGTGGGTTGGCAATCTAAAAAAAGAAGGGAAATAAGTAAATGACCAACAGATAGAAACCTCATTCTTACATCCTGAGTAGCGAATTCACTTTGAACTTGTCATGAGAACCGAATTCAGTTTATATTCTCTATATCCTTACGGAAATCTTTAAGTGTGGTGAGGATCTTAGAATTCATTTATTCCCATCCTCTTGTTTTATAAGCAAGGAAAAGGAAACACACTGGGCAACCCCACCACTAGAACCACAAAGCCAGGTGGGAGAAGCAGTGAGCTCAGCAGTGAGCTCAGAATTCAGGGAACCTGCCTCCTCTGCAAGACCTGTCCATGTTCTGGTAACAACCTCCCTTTCCTCTCTCAGTTACGACATTTCTGCTTTTTCCATTTCAGATTTGAACCATCAAGCCCTTGTCTTTGAATCTTTAGGGTTTTTTTTCAGTCTTGTTTGTTTTGTTTGTTTAGATCTGGCCATTTTCCTGACTCAGGAGACAGGTGGCTGGGCAAACACATACCTGCTGTGGCTCGGGAAGAACAACGTGATGCCTTTTAGTCTATCTTAGGTCTTGCTTATGTTGAGGCTCTACAGGTTAGGGGTGTTGTTGGTGGTGTTGTTATTGTTATTGTTATTGTTTTATTTCTTGGTTCCTGAACTCCTGAAACCATTTTCTATCGTCTGCATGTATCCCTGCTGTCCCCATCCTGGGATTTCCCTTGCTCAGGATACAGTTTGAGAAGATGGTCTTGTCATCACTTTCATTATGGTACACATGATATTCTGTGTTGATTTAATCATCTTGGTTTCTTGATCCCAACCTGGAAACTTCTCTTCTGTGCATAACTGACCCTCCTTATTTTTCTCACCAAGGCTCCTTTCCCTTCTCCTTCAACATTATTATTGAGCCCAGGAGAGTCACATAGAAGGTTAATTTCCTCCCTTTTTCCTCCAGATGGGATGCTGAGCTTCCAGCTGTATCTCCATCACCTAATAAATCAGTTTTAATTTCATTCAGTCACTTGAATTCTTCATCATAATGTTTCTCCTTTTGCATCAAATTGACTTTCTCATTTTTAGTTTCAAGGCTTAGGCTTTATTCTTCGCTTGTGAATCATCTGTTATTTAATTCAAAGTCAGACTCCTTCCCAAAGCTTCTCTTCCTTTTCCTTCCCATTGTTAACTTTCTGCAGTTATATTTGGATCAAATTTCTGTCTTGCTGATGATGTTGACCATTTGGGGGAGAGGTTTATCTTTCACTTGCTTGCTTCAGCATCTCCTGCATATTTTATATAAGATAAACATATTCTCAGGTCCATAGACACAGACATAGCTTCTAAGCCATCCCTGTAGTAACAGGCATGGGGTACATATAGGTATGCAGGGGGCTAGGACATGACCTCAGCTCAGATGCAGCCGTGTGTGTACAGGGCTGGGTGAGATGTGGCTACCTGGGCAGCTTCCTGGTCTACCTTCTCACTGTCCCATCTTGGTGTGTAGCCCAGCTCTTGGGCACTGTGTCCCACCTGCAGAAGGTCCTTAGTTAACATGTGTGGCTTCTCCCCAGGTAGAATGCTAGTGTGAGGTCCCTAACACCACCTCCACACCCAAAGCGTAACTGACCACTTCCTCCTCTGAGCCACCATGGAAACACATTTGTAATTTACTAGCGTGCTCCTAATACTTGGAACCGCATCTGTTTCCCCATCCAGGTCCAAGGTCCTTGAGCGTCTGATTCCTATTTGGACCCTCATAGCTGCGACTTACAAGTGCTTAACAAATACGACTTCTACTTCCCTGAAACAACTCCTTTACTCGCAACACTGGGCCTCAATTTTCATTTTGTAATACTGACTTTATGAGTAAAGACACAGCGTGACAAATTATTTGAGAAATCAGAACCATCCAGGGCTTACACGTTCACAGGTAAAATGTACTTTAGAAGATCTGTGCTACATACCTAGTATGATTAGAGAATATTTGAAGCATTTTGCAAGTATGGCAGTTGGCTTGGGAAGGGGAGGTAAGAAAGTCTATAAACTAAAGCAGTAATTCTTTTTTCTACCAATGATAGGTGGGCCAACCAACTGCAGGATATGGATCAGCTCTGAGAGAACCACACCTGCACCTGGAGTCCTGTGTGATCAGTTACACCTGCATCACGACTGCAGCCCTTCAACAGCTTCATTGAGACTGAACGCTTAGAGAAAAGCCAGAGTAGAGAAATGGCAACAAGAAGCTTACAACGAGATGGTAAGGAAAGAAAAAGCCAGGAACTAGGCTGCTTGGCCAAGTGGAAAATCCAAAATAAATGTCAACATCTGGACTTTGTTTCGACTGTGGGCAGCTAGCACTTATTTAAGAAAAAGTGAGTTTTCACCCTCACTGCTCGCCCCAGCTCACCCTCCCCCTGTCACCAAATTGGCACTTTGCTTCCTCCATCACTGTCTCCTATTTACCCTTCCAGGAATTTGACCTGCCCAGTTGTACTCTTTAGATGCTGGAGGCTGCCTTTTCATCTACAGTTCAGCATTTGATCTTCTAGGTGTGATGTGAATGCTTGCTGAATTAATGAAGGTTGAGTATGTGCCATAATAACAGCAGACACTTAGCACTTCCTAACTTGCCAGATTTATAAATATTAACTCATTTAATCCTTCTTAATACAGACACTGCTCATTCTTCCATCTTATGGATGAAGAAAGTGAAGCATAGACAGATTAAAGAACCAGCTCTTGGTCACATAACCCAAGCAATCTGGTTCTGGAGTGTATGTTCCTATGTTGCGTCTCTGTTTTACATATTTTAAGTAAAAATAATAATTCTTTAAAACAAAATGATCCCCCCACCCAAAAAAAGAAATGTGCCACTGTGAATGATGAATAAAACTACTTAAATACTAAAAGTAATAGGGCTTTATAGAATTTTTGTGACAATATATGAAAGAAATATACTGGTGACAGCCTTGAAATAGCCCAATTGTGTACTCTACTCCTTGGGAAAAACCTATAAGCTTGCTGTTTGTGCTTTTTTAAATTAGATTTTATGTTTTATTTTTAGGGTCAAGACTCTAAATTTTGAAATGCTATTTAAAATGTTTAAATACTTAAATTATTTGCATTATCATCATTGATTTGCATACTTCAATGGCATTTACAAAAATATAGTTATAAATATAGCTTTGAAATATTTAGGATACTTAAATTAATAGCATGAGATATCAGTTTACATCTAATGTCAAATTTTTTTGGAGGATCATATAAGCATATTCATTTCTTTTGTCTAATTATAGCAACTTTAAGTGCATTCATTATTTTCCTAGAGAAGTTATGTTTCCTAAGCATAAAGAAATAAACTCTCTTGATCACTATATCTAAAATGTAATTAAAAAAAAATTTCCATATTTCAAAAAAGTTTTAAATAAAGTAATGACAAACTTCTCTGACCAAGATTAAGAAATACATATTATATTATAACTCAGTACCAACATACGTGTACATATATTTATATGTGTATAAAAAATTTGTTTTACAAAATATTTAACCTTATAATACATGACACACTTTGATATTTCTAGTTTATTTCACTTAATTTTTTTTTGATAGTTGGTTTTGAATCACTAAATTGATTTTCTCATCCATTAATGGGTCATTAATAGCTCATGATCTGCAGTTTTTTAAGACTAAAGAAGTGGATTCTGGAGTTCACAACTTCTCCCTTCGATCCTGGTAACAGCAGGTTACTTAGAGAAGCTTACTTGTAGGAAAAGGTATTTTAAGGTATCTTATGGGCCTTAAAATACCTTCTCCTTATGACCGTCACCTCAGGAAGCCAGGAAAGGCAGCAAGTCAGTGTGGGGTGCACTTAGCCCATTTTCTAGCGACAGTGGCTTCCTGATTAATTATTTTGCAAATTACTCATTAAAACTTGGCTTTGCAAAGTTAGCCCTTGGTCCAGTTATTGCTGCCAGATTTCCTGTTTACACTGAGCTCAGTGTATGAGGTTATTGTCCCCACTGGAAAGTGCTTTAGACAAGGAAAAAGAGTGAATCAAACAAGGAGCCAGACTCCCAGCATCATTTCATGGTGCACCCTGGCAAAGAACGAGTGAACACTAAGTAACTGTAGGTGAGTCTGGGAGCCCGCTGCGGACATGAGCTGACCAAGATGATTCTATAGCAAATGGTCCAAAAGGTTTGATACAGAGGGATGATGCACTGCTTTCTCCTGGCAGTCACTGACAGCACAGCCCATCAGTAACTTCAAATACCTCTTAGAGAGTTTTCACAGTGAACATTTTCTACATTCCTAAACTAAGAGGCATGGTAAAGCATTCTGCCCCAGATCACGTGGATATAGATACCTGCTTCAATTACACTGGCTACTGCAGGCACACTTATTTTCTTAATTTTAGAGTTAAGAAAATTTACAATAAAAAAAGCCAACTTGGGCTTCCCTGGTGGCGCAGTGGTTGAGAGTCCGCCTGCCGATGCGGGGGACACGGGTTCGTGCCCCGGTCCGGGAAGATCCCACATGCCGCGGAGCAGCTGGGCCCGTGAGCCATGGCCACTGAGCCTGCGCTTCCGGAGCCTGTGCTCCGCAACGGGAGAGGCCACAACAGTGAGAGGCCCGCGTACCGAAAAAAAACAAAAAAACAAAACAAAACAAAAGCCAACTCTTAGTTTTGACATTTTCCTATTGTTTTTCTGTTTTCTATCTCATTTATTTCTTCTCTAATATTTATTTCCTTCCTTCTGCTAAATTTGGGCTTAATTTGTTCTTTTTCTAGCTCCTTGAGGTGTAAAGTTAGATTATTTGAGATCTTTCTCCTTTTTAAAATGTAAACATTTATTGCAATGGACTTCCCTCTTCTATTTTTGCTGCAACCCATAAGTTTCGGTAATTTTCGTTTTCATTTTCATTTGTCTTGAGGTAACATCTTTTTTTAAAAAAAATATTAATTAATTAAATTTTGGCTGTTTTTTGGGTCTTCATTGCTGTGCGTGGGCTTTCTCCAGTTGCGGCGAGCGGGCTTCTCATCACAGTGGCTTCTCTTGTTGTGGAGCACGGGCCCTAGAGCACACAGGCTTCAGTAGTCGGGGCACGTGGGCTCAGTAGTTGTGGCTTGCAGGCTCCAGAGTGGAGGCTCAGTAGTTGTGGTGCACAGGCTTAGTTGCTCCACGGCATGTGGGATCTTCCTGGACCAGGGCTCGAACCCACGTACCTTGCATTGGCAGATGGATTCTTAACCACTGTGCCACCAGGGAAGTCCTTGAGGTATCTTCTAATGTCTTTTTTGATTTCTTGTTTGACCTAATGGTTGTTCAAGAGCATGCTGTTTAATTTCCACATACTTGTGAATTTTCCAGTTAGTTTTTTCAAAGATAAGCAAAATAGACAAATACCTAGTTAGACTAAGATAAAAAGAAGACTCAGATAAAATCAGAAATGAAAGAGGAGTCATTACAACTGACACTACAGAAATAAAAAGGATCGTAAGAGACCACTATGAACAACTATACACCAACAAACTGGATAACCTAGAAGAAATGGATAAATTCCTAGAAACATACAGCCTACCAAGACTAAATTATGAAGAAATAGAAAGTCTGAACAGACCTATAATTAGTATAGCAATTGAATCAGTAATCAAAATCTCCCAAAAGAGAAAACCAGAGAAACACATGGCTTCATGGTGAATCACACCAAACAATTAAGAAGAATTAGTGCCAATCCTTCTCAAACTCTTTCAAAAAATGGAAGAGGAGCGAACACTTCCAAACATTTCATGAGGCCAGCATTAACGCGATACCAAAACCAGATAAAGACACCACAAGAAAAGAAAACTATAGCCAATATCTCTGATGAATATAGATGCAAAGTTCCTCATCAAAATACTAGCAAACTGAAGGCAACAGCACATCAGAAGGATTGTACACCACAACCAAGTGAGATTTATCCTTAGGATGGAAGGATGTTGCAGTACATGAAAATCAATTAATGTGAGATACCATATTACCAGAATAAAGAATAAAAATCATAGATCATCTCAATAAATACAGAAAAAGCCTCTGACAAAATCTAACAGCTTTTCATGATAAAAATTCTAAACAAACTAGAAATAGAAGGAAAGTACTTCAACATAATAAAGACTAATTATGAAAAGCCCACAGGAAACATTATACTTAATGGTGAAAAATTGAAAGCTTTTCCCCTAAGATCAAACCGAAAATCTTCTTCACAGCAAAGGAAACAATCAACAGAATAGAAGGGCAACTTA